TAAGCACACAGACTGACCCATCGATAGCCGCTCGGGAAATTACATAACCGACCGAATGGTAAACCGTCGACGTCGCCCAAAGCACGTCATTACGGATCCTCCTGATCCATTAACGGTGCTTTTAGGCACCACAAGCACCGGTCACCGTCCTCGTCGAACCCGTCGCTTGCGACGAAGGGCTCGACGAGCGAACTAACCCATAGACACAGCCCACTGAGTTTCTGGCCGGATCTTCTCAGTGGGTCGCGTTTCCGATCCGGTGGTAGATTCTGCGAAGCACTGCTCTTGCTAGGGTCAGTGTTAGCAACACTCCGGTTGAGCCCCGCGAGCTCACCTACAAACGTTAGGGCGAAGCTGAAATAGCCTCTCAAGGCTATCAGCATAGTAAGTTTGTACACTATTATGATTGTATTTTATACTTCTATAATCACAAATTTCGCCAAGACTACACTATAAAAAATATTAACAAAGACAAACAATATTTAATCTATTCTCAATTTGACAACAGACGTCAAGAACAAAAGTTTGACAATAAATAGTATGCATGCGTGTGTGCGTCAAATACATGGTATGTAGTGTGTGTAATGTTTTCTTTATTGATTTAATGTATCTTTTATGCATTATTTAAAAAAAATATTAGCATTGTGCACTTCTTCTCTATATTCTCTATAAGTGTGGAAAATTTCACACTCCTCCGTCCGCGCAATTTTCTTAAAAAGCGATACAAAGTTTTTGCTTCACGTATTTCATTCGGCTAAGGTTGTTTACCGTGTCGTAGTGGGCCCCATGGACGCCGCCAATTGCATCCGAACAGAAGCTAAAACCTGCCCCTCCATTAAAGCACTCTTCTCAAAACCTCGTTTGAAGAAGGAAAAATGTTCATCTTTCTCTTCGATCGGTCCGTCACTGCTGCAGGATCGTTGACTTCCGCGCTCCGGGTTCCGTTCGGGGAACCAAGTTGTCTCCAATCGATGCCGTTTTTGTAGCCTGGGTAGAGTGCCGTCGCTGACCAGGTATCCCCAGGCCCTGCTGCTATTACACTGACACTGAGACAACTGAGAAATCCGGGCGAAGAAAAACTCAGTGGGCTGCTGTCTGTGTGACTATGTCCTGGCATTGTATATATTTAATATTAAATTACGCTGAAGTAAAAAACTTTCGTATCCCTTTTTACGAAAATTGCGCGGCGGACGGAGGAGTATGAAATTTTCCACACTTATAGAAAATATAGAGAAGAAGTGCACAATGCTAATATTTTTTTAAGATAATGCATAAAAGATACATTAAATCAATAAAGAAAACATTACACACACTACCATGTATTTGACGCACACACGCGTTCATACTATTTATTTATTGTCAAACTTTTGTTCTTGACGTCTGTTGTCAAATTGAGAATAGATTAAATATTGTTTGTCTTTGTTAATATTTTTTAAAATGTAGTCTTGGTGAAATTTGTGATTATAGAAGTATAAAATACAATCATAATAGTGTACAAAGTTACAATTCCAATTAATTATAGTCGAATTTCGACTACCGCGGGACCACTAGTTATATTTTGAATAACGCCAAGCTCTTAAACTCTCAAATTGCCATTTCTATCAGCATGCGCAGGCCACAGTGAGGATTCTAGAACAAATACACGGCGAAAATCGAAATACAGGCTGGTTAATTTCCACGCAAGCGCCGAGCCACGAATTTACAATGGGAGTCAGAGTTTGGATAAAATCACGCCGATCCTACAGAAGGTGAGCCACGATGGGAAATCGCCTTCAGGTCGCGATTTGGTGCTTTGTAAGCCCATACCACAAAGCACCGGTGTATCATCCTCCGTCGAACGCCATCGTCTGCGACGAAGGCGGGCTCGATGCGGAATTAACCCATAGACATAGCCCACTGAGTTTCTCGCCGGATCTTCTCAGTGGGTCGCGTTTCCGATCCGTGGCGGTAGATTCTGCGAAGCACTGCTCTTGCTAGGGCCAGTGTTAGCAAGCACTCCGGTTTGAGCCCCGCTGAATAAGCGCCTCTCAATGCTATCAGCATAGGTAGGAAAAAAAAAAGTTCGCGGGCAAGAAACATACCAGACATATGGGAGGATTCTCTTGTGAGTCCGCACGGTTAGGCTTACCACCACCCTGCGTATTTCTACCGCTGAAGCAGTAATACATTTCGCGTTTGAAGGGTGGGGCAGTCGTGTGTAACTATAGTTGAGACCTTAGACTCAAATTCCCGAAGGTGGGGTAGCGGTTTTTTACGTTGTAGATGCTGTATGCGGCTCCGGGTAACCATTTAACGACCAGGTGGGCCTCTGACCTCGCTCATATATCATAAATAAAAAACACGTGTGGCACTCGGGGACTGCCGCGGTAAAGCTATTGCATAGCATTTTTTATCAACTTATGCAATTATAATTAGACAATAATAATTTAATATTAAAACAATAATAAAATAAGACCACGCTATATTTATAAACATTAACAAAAGCAAAACATTAACTGTCCCCTTCACACTCATAAGCTAGACCGCGCGAGAGAGAGAGATGGGCAGACTTTTCATGATGCGCATGCAGTGTGACGTCACGCCACGTGCTTATTCACAAACAACGTACACAGCGCAATGTGTAAATGTGCTTGAACGCGGAATGGCCTACATGCGTAGGGGAGTGGGGGGTGTTAGGTTTTATTTTCGTTACGGAATTTCTTGCATTCGATCGCAGTAGCATACTTTGTAAGCGCCCGTAGATGTAGCCCTTCTAAGTGATCATTACCACCCAAAAGCCATTATAATTCATTCATGTTGAATTTCAGTTGACACCGGAGAGCTGCGCCATGATAGCTGTCAAAATTGACAGACTGTCAAAAGAATCAACGCATCAGACCTTTGCGGCCTTTGAAAAATTTGTCACGGAGCAATACAACATCCAAATGTTGTCGGAAAGCATCGGGCGAGCGAAAGAGAGAAAAAAGAAAACGTCGAACAAGATACATCCGTATTCGGGTAGAGAAAGAGAGACAGAGATATCTTATGTGACCTGGTGAAATTATTCATAGATGTAATAATGGTGGATGTATTGACGATGCTCGTGGAATTAAATGCACCATTTGAATATTGAATTTCATCATTGAATATCAACGTGCGAGTTTTGTAACGCTCTCGATAGCGAGCCAGTTTGCTCAAATTTGTATGCAATTGGAACAGCGCCCCTAGCGGCAAACGTACCCGGTGTTATTTTGTGAGTGCGAGTTCATATTAACGTTGTGATCTCGTAACCGAGTAATTTTATCGAAATGAGTACCACGAATGACATTTGTGCGAGTGCGTGTTACAAATTAATGGGTTTTAACGTTTCGATCGAGTATTTCTTTAGTAGTTCTATTTTTCCAACTAGAGAGGCAAAAGTATCATGCCATAAAGCCTAATCTTTTTTTATGAAAAATGATAATATGGAGTGAAATGGATTTGATTAATTTGAAGCATTAATCAATTGGCATGGAATGAAATGAAATGAGATCAGATAATATGTAATAAAATATAATCTCTGCAAAATGCTGATTATATACTGAGATTTTTTTCAGTGGACCTTTTTGAAGACTTCGAGAAGCTACGTCCAGCGGTTTTGTTATTTTTTTTAAAATTTTTGCACTTTCGCAGATGCTATACAGTTAATAAACCCACGTTACTTTGTTATTGCATAGATGGGTGGACGAGCTCCCGGCCCACCTAATCTTAAGTGGTTACCGGAGCCCATAGACATCTACAACGCAAATACCGCCTCCCACCTTGAGATATTAGTTCTAAGGTCTCAGTATAGTTACAACGGTTGTCCCACCCTTCAAACCGAAACGCATTACTGCTTCACGGCAAAAATAGGCAGGGTGGTGATACTTACCCGTGCGGACTCACAAGACGTCCTACCACCAGTAATTACGCAAATTAATTTTGCGGGTTTGATTTTTATTACATGATG